GCGTCCCACAATCCTCTGGGCCATCCCAGCCCAGCATCCTGTATGTGATCCATTGGCCAGTATTGTCTCACTATTGTCAGGCTTTAAATAAACTTCCTTAACCTCGGGACAATCCTGATTATGTGATGTAGTTTGATGCCTGTTTGACTCGGTCACGTGCGTGAAAGGCACCAGGAAGAGGAGGAGCTTCTCGCTCTAACTGCACACCCAGCAGTACCGTCTGCCTCACTGATGATGTCTGCTGGACGGTTTCCTCTTAATTCCCATATCATTAATATCCCAGAAGGAAGATTTTCATAACACATCACCAAATTGTCTTAACAACAGAATCAAATAATAAAACATTTTGTTTGAGCTTTCAAATCTCTGCGGCGCATTAGCTCTGAAACCCTCGGCGTTATCGTGTACAGCTCAAGTGTCAAACTCATTTTATTTCAATGCTGCGTGTGCAGGTTTGATCTCAGAAGTAAGAACGACTGCATAAGAACTTAAAAACACACTCACAGTTTTTTTACATAATGTGAACAACTCATTTCCAGTGTAGCTGCGATTTCTGCTCTTGTAAATCACAGTTTAGTGCGGTACTGCAGGCCGTGGGTCACATCGCTGTCACAAAGAAGGCTGACAGTGATTCAGACTTCTGTTTGGATGCTCTGATATGATCCCCTATTTATGCTTCTGGCATAAATACAGAGAAAAGGCCACCGACTCAATCGCTACAGTTTTTACTCCCTAAATGTTAGCCAGAGGTGGTGTATATACCCCTCATCCACAAATGATTTTATAATTTAAGAACAGTTTAAAGCAATAACATTTGTCTTATTAAGCACAGTTTAGCACTCATAAACAGATTTGACTGGTAGTTGATTTAAATGTCATAGTGTGACAACTCCAACCCAAAAGAACAAACTGTTACGATGTTACAGTAAACATGTGAAAACAGGTTTACTTTAACATCTTAACAAACTGTTAAGATGTTACAGTAAACACGTGAAAACAGGTGTTGAGGAAGCAGAGAGATCATCGAGCAGAAACAGGAGAAGAAGTCATACATACATGCTGGTGTTGAGCAGTCCCTCGTGTTGTGATAAACTCTGTGAAAGTGTGTTTTGCACTCCGATGAGAACTTGACTGGTCCTGCTTAACAGAAAAAGGTCTCATCAGATAAAACAATCGTGTTTAATCTTATTTGCAGGTGTAATTCAGCTTGAGCTTACAGTTGATGTGAGCAGACGTGTGCTAACTAAAGCTGGACCTGGCCTTAGTGTGCAGGGGAATCGAGTCTTCAATTATAAGCACATCTAACATTTAAGCTTCCAGATTTTCACATCACTCATGAACCCTGCACATAGTTCCTGAGACAAATAATCAGCTTAATGTGCCGCTGCCTTCAGCTTAATACTGTCAGCTTCAGACCATGTGCTGTTTCTCAGCTGCCCTACAAGCAACCCTTTCTTAACTTACTGCAGCCCCCAGTGTTCGTGATGTTTTCTATGACCTGAGCAGACTGTATGCTGGCTCGGAAAGAAAAGGATTTTTTCACAGGGGCAAAAGGAGGAATTCCCAGTAAAGTGTTGCACTGGATCAGTGCCATCTATGCTGGGACAGTTGTCAGAAACAAACGGTCTTGCATTAGAGACAGAGTTTGTGCTCCTAGTGTCGTCTCTGGTGGCGAGTTTCTTACCTCCAAAATGCTCAATGATTTTCTCTTTCATGTTTGCATCTCTGGAAAAGATTTCTGGAAAAGAAACTCACCGTTAGCTTCTCACCGTCTGAGCAAAGTTATGCATGAACCACAGTGACGGAGGGATCGTCAGTGTTAACGGTCTCCCTCCTGCATTATGTTTCAAGAATCTCAGCAGTGTCGCTGCTTTACGTGACGATGCACAGCTGCTTTGCATGATTAATAACTTTGAAATGTTTTTGGATTTTACTGCAGAATCATAAATGAACATTATTCATTCTCTATGTTCCTCAGATGTGCACCAAATGTAGTTTTTCTCCAACTGATTGACACACTCGTGTTTTTGTCCACGGTTTGCACTCTGGGGAAATTTTGTGTATTCATAAAGACACCGAGGACCTCTGTTTGTATTAAGTGTCCACCCAGGCAACACAGGCAGCAGTCTCGTAGCACAATGGCCATGCTTACAGGCTAAAGAGATTATTGTATGGGAGTTTAATGCCCATCAGAAGAAGTAAGTAGCTACATTAACCCTCGAGCAAGAGATTTGTGCAGTGCTCTACGGGGGGATAAATATGGAAGAAAATCACTTAGATGCACGAAGAAAAATCACAGAGAAATTAAATTAATTTAATTTCTCTGCACTAAGAGTGCAGAGAAGACAACAGACAGAAGACAACCGATAAGAGCAACACGAGTCAGGTTTTCATTACAGCTACATATGTGGAGGATTAGTGAGTGTGTCGACACTGTTTTCAGCTGCCAAAACTGCAACAATGTAACAGATAAAACCAGCTAGAAAACAAGTGTCTGGCTTCACGGCGTGTTTGTTGAAACGACCGTAGCTGTAGAGGAAGAGGTGCCGCACACATCAGTGGATTTATCGATGTTTCTCCTTCCTCCTCGTTGTGTTCAAAACATCCATCCTTGCGTGACCACAAATCTTTGGTAGCGTTGCACGCACCGCTTGCTAATGTGCTGCTTTTTATATCCTCAAAAGATGAATTCCATCCAGTCAGTGGTCTGAAAGGTACTTTTCCAACTGCATGAGCTGGAGCCAAGATTTTAAGCTGTATAACGCCTGCACAACATCTCTACAACAGGATCTAACTGATAGTGCTGTTGGACACAGTCTGATATTGGAAATAAACAGCACATTATGTTAACTTAGCCCTTAATATACTCCCACACATACCAACGAGGCACAGCCCTCGACTGCTCTGAGTCTGTTAAAGCGATAAAAACAGTTGCATAAAAGGATTTTCTGGATTCCTTTTCTTTATCACATTCGAGCACCTTCTTTGCCAGGTTTTAGATATTTGAAGAGTTGCAGCATTAATGCAGATTTACTGAAATGTGTGAGACGACTCAGTTTTAGTAAAAATCCTGTTAAATGTCGTTCGCAACATTCAGTAACATGCTCTGGATAGTCTTCCCAGATAAAGTCCAGTGTTTATAGTCTCCTCATACAGGCTCTTCACTCATCACTGATGCAACGCCGTGTACGTGACGCAGCACAGCCAGTCTGCTTTATCTGCTCTGTCTGCAGACGTGACTGCAGATGCTTTTTAGGACAGTGCCTGTGTGCATGTTGGGCGCTCATCACTCAGGTTAAAGAGTCCAATCATGCTGAATGACTCATTCACAAGTTTAGCATCACCATGCCCCTCCTACCTTAATTAGCCTATCCACATCTCCATCTGTGCAACAGTCAGTTAAACACGTGTTGAAGAAACATGGTCAAAAAACAGGTTTTCAAAATGAAGCACACCTGCATTGTGTTCATGGGAACCACTTTAAATTTAGCTGGACACTTGAGGACAGACGGATGTGGATGCTGACCTCTCTGAGCACCATGGACACACAAAATTACAAAATTTAACTCGAACAAACCAGTTCAGCTAAAAGAAGCTCCTGAATAAGACGTGCAGCACTGCCCAGAACACTGACAGCTGTCCCCAACTGTAAAATGGGGATTATGCCTTCATCATCAGAACCTAAAAATAAATCTTATCAGCTTACCTGAGAGTCTACTGTTATCCAGCCTAGGGACATAGAAAGGCTTTTCCCGGGAGGAGAACTTCATGTCTTGTGCTGAAGTGAAGAGTCCACTGCTGCAGCGCCTGGAGATGGGTTTCTGCCGTTGCTGGCTGTCTCTGATAACCTGTAAGATTAGATCCAACAGGGTCCTTCGTTCTTTCTGCTTGTCCTCCTTGCTGTCCTTACACTGACCCGAAGTGATGAGCAGAAGGAAGACAGTGAGCAGCATGTGCCATTTCCTTTCCACCTGCATGACTTGACTGTCTGAAAGCATGAGAGACGGGTTTGTTACATGAAAGTCATCACACGAACAGAAACGCCTCATTTGTTTGACTGGACTGACCAAAAACACACAGTTTGCATTATGATTTACATGAATCCGCACAGATATTTGAAGTCCTTCACGTTTTCATTATTACAGCAAAATTAATAAAATCTGCATGTTGGAGATAAAACAGGTAACTTCTAAAAAATCTCCACTTTCCCCTTGTTTAATACAAGAGTAACGCAAATGCATTTAATTGAACTTCAAACTTACTAGTTCAGGAGTTAAAGATGCGTATGTCCTGGAGGGTGGACACAGTTGTCTTCAGCAAATTCTTCCGATCCGATAGGAGAGAAAGCCAACAGATTGCGCTCACCACCGTCTTTCTTGAAATAATGCGTTCCTATTTATACGAGGAGCCACCTTCTTGAAGGTAATACAATCGATTTTGAGTGGGTGGTAAAGCAATGTTGACATCTTTGGTGTAATTTCTTCCAGTGGCACTCGCTCACTTAGGCATGAGCCACTCCTTTACGCACCAAAAACATCACTAGTTGTAGTTGAACGGGACAGGCTACTTGCAAATAAAAACGACCCTCTTATAGATGCAATAATGGGCGAAGATCTGAAAAAGTCCCCCGTGCGCTATAACTTCCATTAAAAAAGAAAGAAAAACCCGACAAAGACCGTGGCGCGGAAGCGCACGAGTGTCCACTTTTCCAAAAAGAGCGACTTGTTGGATGTTGGGTGCAGAGAAGTGAAGAATCTGTGGGCATGTGAGCTTCTAGCTGACCTGTCAGCGTGCCGATGTTTTTGCTCACCGATGTCCAAGTCTTGTGACCGCCTAAGCGCCGCAGATATTGCGCCTCCTGGAGCAGCCATCCGGCTTTTTCCCACCCATGCTGAACAGAGTCATGTAACCGTGTATAACTTTACCTGCAGGTGTGGCAGGGTTACGGAGAGTGT